GCGAAACATGGCCGGTAAGAGTTGAAGATATTCGTAGGTTATTAGTATTCGATTACAGATGTCTTCGAAGCATTGCTCGTGTATCCTGGGGCAACCAAGTAAGCAATGCTGTCGTTAATAAACGAGTATTGGGTAGGGATGGCAAATTAGTAAATGAAGTATTGAAAATTCACCGTTTGAGGTGGTCGGGACATGTGTTACGTACTCCCAACTGCCTCGACGAGCTGTTTTCTGGTGTAGGAGCAGGTTGCAAGAAAGCTAAGGGCGGCCAAACCGAAACATGGCATAAATCCATGAGGTCACTGATAAGTGGAATGAGTCATGTTGGTAGATGTAGACTACGTGGTTGGGGTCCGCCAAATGATACTAACCGATGGTTAGAGATTTTGAACGAAATGGGTCAAAATGGTATGTGATGGCGCAGGTGTATCCACATTTTGTGTTCTCTGAAATTCTAATCTTCCGTATTCCTCATCACCTCTATTCTTCTCTTTCTAAAGTTATCTCACTGAACTATACTTCTTGAATAACATCTTTGAACCCTGATCTTCTCGATTACCGTTAAGACTTACACTATCTCTACCGTCAAGTGGTTTGAACTGACAGTTGCGTCCATGTGCTAATGTGGTATGGCAACCTGAGCTTCTGCACGTACGTAAAAAGATCTACGTTATAACTGACTGACAACATAACGAGACATTAAGCAAACTTAACCTTTAAAAGAATACCTGAATAATTTGCGTTGTACTTTAGAGAGTGACTCGTTCGCCTAATTAGTCGTCCTGTGTTGAGTGGATTAACAATTCGAGAAATGATTATGAATCAATATCACTAAATGAAAACTGTGAATGATCTTTAATAGTTAAAATCGATGACATATGTGTTGTTTTCAGGCAGGTACTTTCACATAAGATGCTCCAATAACTCTATCTACCGTTCGCTGCTAACGCTGGTTGTAGTGCAACTTATCTTGATAAAAATCATCGTAGAACAAGCTTATAAGATACCTTTTACCAGGAGAACGTGTTGTAATCTCGTTGTTGAATGGTTTATACTCCAATCAAGGTTGTATTCGCTTGTATTCATAGATGCACAAATTAACAAGGAAACGCGTTAAGGAAAGAGTTACGAATCATAATGGAGCTTATCATAGAGCTTTCGAAAGTGTTGGTGTCCTAAGAACCGAATCTCTGAACTGTTCGAATACTGAGAAAGCAAGTTTACTAAGTAATAACAATACTACGCACATCAGATCTAATTATCCGATCTCAAATAATTCACCAGTTGTGTAGGATATTAAACATCACTGAAACGATAAGAATATGAAGATGATCTCTACAAATATTCAATTTCTAGAAAAGCTTCTATATTCTCTTTAAGTTGTATCGATCATTTTGTAATGATATTATCGCAGATAAACAACAAGAACTTATGGATATGAGCGCATTACTTACTAAGGAACTAAAATAACGAATGAATCATCGAACCTGTGATGATTAAACTACCCTTCTGATGGATAAATGTGAATCAATTTTGTTTTTTTTATTAAAAACGTACGCTCAGGCCGAGGTTTGTTTATAAAGTAACGATGAATTTAAGTTATATTAGCTTCTGAATTATTTTTACACTCCGGAAGATGAATATTATCGCTTGCCTAGTGAACGATTTTGACTAGAAAAACGTACTTTTTATGAGTAAGCGAAAAAGTGAATGATGAATGTGTCAAACATAGAGAATACTGAAGTTAAAAAAAAACAGAAGAACCAACGGGTTTTACGCTGAGCTGTGTATCACACTGACGAACATATCAGACGGTACCAAGTTGGATAATTTTGATTTGCACCACTTGGTGAGAATAAGAGATAAAACATGATATCCATAAGTACTACTTTGCCTGGTAAATGGAGAGGTTTTGCAAAAATGTAACGGAGAAACAACTGCAACTCATTCACAACAATTGACGACAGATGAGTGACGATGGATGAAGTAACGAAATGTCCTGAGTTTAATGTATACGAAGAATAAGGAAGCAAGAAGGAAAACACCCACGTGACTTTAAGAAACGTCATCAGTATCTTTGCGAAAGGAAATATAGTTTTAAAATTAGGAGGCACAAAGTTGAATGACTTTTGGCACTAGTTTATCTGAATCGCCTTCCTACCACAATATTAGAGAGTATAGATAGGACGATAATCATACCTAAAACCAAAACCTGTTTTACTAGCCATAGCTTTTCATCTGATGATTTGAGAAAATCAACCTAGACCCCATATATCTAAGAAGTTTACTAATTAAGGTGTGAAATATAGGACTACAATTTTAAGACTTACTTTGAATTAACAGGTACGCATTTGTTCCATGTTTGCTATAACTCACTTACTTACTTGAATTAATTTTTTCCATGGTGAAGAGCCGCTATCTTGTTTACCCTTCAAATATAATTGACGCAAAAGATAACCCCATAAATAACAAGTGGATAATATATCAATCCTTATGTCTTACTTACTTCCGCGGACCCTTATAATTACTAGGGGATACTATAAAATAATACGCTTACTTCAAAGATCGAGAATTGTTGACAGATTCGATATTAAGCACCCAAAATGATAAACGGATCAGGAGCACTCAATTATGATTCTACCACATCAATTCTCTCATTTACATACACGTACTAAGGTCATGAAAGAAAAGATACAACAAGATTGAAGTTTTACTCGTGTAGTACCAAATGAATGCAAACAGTTTAGAGGAAAATGAATTTCAATAAACAGAATACTACTTCATCCATCCAAACAAAACTTGGTGCAAAGTTAATATCACTATCCATATACTGGCTATTTAGTTGTGTATGACGAGCATATAATCAACACTATGTACTTTGATGTACACATAAAACTCTAAAACTGGAATGAACTTTTTTCATTACAAGCAAATTAAATTGACGATATGAAGCTATTTGGAATAGAAACTAATCATACGGTAATGGGCAGTAGGAACATTCAAATAGTTATTTTTAAGTACTATAAGCTACTGTGAGCGAAATATGACTTGGTTCAGAAATAAGAGAGACTAATTAACTACTCATATGTCCTATATATTAACTTACTTGATATTAGGAAAGAAACTTTAGATAAGATCTATAGACCTCAAATTTTTATATCACAAACTAATTATTTTGACATACGCCGCTAAGAGAATGCCAAAATGTACAACTAAACGTCATTAAAGAGACATAGATCACATATAGGTAGAATTTGTCTTGAGGTTTTAAAGGTTTTACAGATCCACTATCCTTAAATAAATTCGAAGTATGGTTAAGAGTTTCGTTAAATTATTTTAGCTACAAAAACTGTTTAAAAGAACGAATAAAATTCTGACTAAGTAGTCAATGAAACATGGATAAAAAAATTGTTCAACATCTGTAATTAGTCGAATTATTTATCCTACTTTAGAATTTCGATAGTATCCACAGAATAATTGATAAGTGTATCTTTGAAACACAATTACACCGCAACAGCTGATTTCCCAGTTTAACAACGTTATAGCCAGTTAGTGAAACAACGGCATAAATCAATTTATTGAATAAAGTTGACAGCTAAAAATGAAAATTTACAAGACAAAATATTTAATCAGAAATTTATTTAATGTATAACATTCACTTTGATCGATTTTCATCCAGTTAGATTTTCCGGCTTTTCCATGTCGTCTTCTTGCTGATTCCTGTAAAAGCCTGAGTTGTCCGCATGAAAACTGTTCACTTTCAAATGCAAACTCTAAAGAACGTTTAAAGCTAAAACAAAGGCTAGTTACGCTCAAAAAACAAAGTGTGCAGGTAAATATTTTTAATTCAGCTCACTGGCATTTGTGAGATTTAAGAATACTTATTACTGTTTACAAAAAATGAGCACACGGGATTTCGTTCTAAATTATCCAACACACCTGAAAATCACGGTAAGATTGACGGCAGACATGCTCAGATATTGTATAAAGATTAGCGTGCTAGCAAGTATAGAGAAGACATAATAATCTACAACACAACTTTAAAGGGTAAAGTGGCCAGTAGATAAAATATTAGACTCATTATTGAGACGACTTTAGATAGCAGTTTTAGGATAACAAAAAACATCTCTCAAAAATGTCTAAGTCAAAATAAAAACAGATCAATTTAATGAAAGTCGAGAAATGATTGGTGAAGCCGGTTATAAGACAAAACTAGCAGAGAAGATATATCAGATTTATAACAATAACATAAGTGTTTGGACGTGTAAAACCGAATCCCTAGGACGGTGGATTATGGTTCATACTGAAAATTAGTGTAACCGCAACTGTTATCTCATATGAAAAAAATAATGGATTGTCGTACAAAGACCATTTGGACCGACAACGAAGTCGTTAAGATTCACTTCAGCTACGAATATCGGTTATGATAATCATGTATGTCAATAATTAAATGTTTGATCAACGAAACCACCGGCTATTACCCCCTCCAGATAATTAAAAAAATTTGTTCTGTTATAAACACTAATCTTGCAGGACACAAAACTTTACCAAATAACATATACATACTTTTCACCAAAAATGAGTAGACACTGTGCATGTTATAAAACTTGAGTTTGTGGAAAAAACCAAATGAATTTTGGAATAATCGATGACCTAATATCAAAAAAACTGATTTGCTGAATGAGAATTAAACGTATTCTTTATTCTTAATCTAATAATATAAAAATAATAAACATTTTAGATAGTATTTACAGTTGTTATTTTACTTTTTAAACATACAGAAATAACAAAAGAAACATCTCATCATTTTTATAAAACTCATGTACAGAAATAAAACGATGGATAAATGCATTCTTAAACAAAGAAACGTACTTTAAGCGGAAACTGTTGTTCACGCATCGACTAATTCGAAAGATGAAAAAGTGGGATCGAAATGTTAATACACAATAAAAACTAAAGAACAAATCCATATTATAGGATGCAAGTTCATGAGAACTCACTTCGACTTTTGTATGAACACATAGAACCAGTAGTGGAAGATGATCGATGTCTGTGTCGATGGGAGTGCTTTCTTCTCCGATGTTTATTGCGCTTATAGCGTCTTTCATCACTGTGAGAACTGCCAGAACGATAGGAGTGTTTGTAGGACCTTTGTCTACATCTTGAATGTCCGTGAACGGATGGACTTTCACACTTATGTTTGTAGTACGAACGGCAATATCGCGAACCAGAGTTACTACGACTTCGCCATCTTCTACGATGCCCAATATCACTGCTTGTTGACCGACTATACCTAGATACAGTCTTCAATCGGTGACCATAATCATTTTCTTTTTCCGTTTTGTGGCGCTGTTGCAATTTCTTCATTTAACACCCCGAATAATTACATCCCGAAAGTGAAAAGTAATGAAAATAAAAGAGTACGTAAGTAAGGAAATCGAGAATAAAATGTTAAATGTTTGTTTCTTTTGAGTGGATTCGATTGTTTCCTGTACAAGTATTTCCACTGATGATCCGATGACTCGATATAAACTGACCTAAAATGATTAAATAGAATAGGCTGCGACATTACAAAAAAGGTTTTTAATTAATCTATAATTTGTTTTAAGCAAACAAATTTTTGCATCAAATTGTAAAAATTAGTCAACACTATATTTTGTGGATGAAACTTCTTACCTTTAGTAAATGCGCATAAACAGGATGAGTAAATTCTCTGAATTTACTATTCATTGCATCTTCTTCTGATGCAGTATAATTTGTATATTCACCGGTTTCGGAATTATATTTATAGTACGTTCCAGTTTTTGGTTCGTAAAATAACTGATTCTCCTAAAAATATTTGCGATGTCAAGAAGTTTGAAATAACATACTGGGTCATAGTAATAGCCACTTTTATGATCGTAATACAATCCAGTTCGTTCATCAAAGGTATAGCCTGTATTACGTACAACAGCTTCTGATGTTTCTTTAAGCATATTAGCTATCGATGCACCTAAGAATGAAATATAAATTTTACTAAGCGATTGCACCATATGTCTTAGAATTGGTTGTATTCGAACCGTTGGCAGAAACCTCTTTTACGCTTGGCAAATTGTCGTCACTGACCACGCTTTTTTGATCAAGAGACAGGAGACGACGTTCTAAGTCTGTGTTTTTATCCATCAAGTTCTGTATGAATGCATCTTTTTCTTCGAGTTCCTTCTTCAGAATGTGGATTTCAGTCTCCAGTTCACTTAACTTTTCAAATACATCAAACTCCATTCCTATAAATTTACTTCAAATAAAAAAAAGTACGGAGTTATTAGCGAAGTTTGCTGAAAATTTAATGAAAAATTCTACAAACACTCTACATCAATTAACTGGAGATTATAGGTTTTATTTTCTCAAAATAATCTGCCAGTAACTTGACATTCAATGGATTCCTTAGTTGCATAAACAACTCAAACGAAAGCAAACCAATTCAATATATCAAACGAAAGATAAAATGGATAAATTTGGTTAAATAATATTTTGACTAACTTCCACGCAGGAATTTTTTTGAACCTGACTGACGTTATTATTTAAACACGAGCAATGGTACAAAGGGATACCTAAATATTTGTGCCACACAAATCAGTAAATTTGTGAAGACTCAAAGCGAATTAGATGGTTCTGCTAAATGACCGATCCCCAAACCGTCGACCTTGAGATTTGATCTACAAGGTAGATAAGCCGCATTAAGAGATGCAGTCTCACAGTACCAGGTGACCATTTACTCGTTCACTATTATGGGACCTATCTTCAGGAAACAGGGTTTCCCAAACCTCCTAAGTGGATCCTTGGTGCCAAACTACCTGGGTTAAGCGGCGGGCATACGCTTTAGGTCCTCTGGCGTCAAGAAAAGAGTACCGAATTAGAATGGCAGATGAATTAATGAATTACTGTAGAGACAGACAGATACAACGCAGAACTTCGTACGTAAGTACATCAGTTCAGGTTGCCATACCACATCAGCACAGAGACGCAACTGTCAGTTCAAATCCAAGAGTGATAGTGAACACGACCGAAGCTGCTACCTTGACGTGGTGGTCGGTCTTGCCTATCGCGATGACCCAACCGAGCTATATTGGCTTGAACATATGTTCCTGAAGGTTCTACCATGCGAGGCAGGTCGATTAGAGAACAATGAGACTAAAAGCAGCTACTCAATGTCTGAGGGCGAAGTCGTACTGCTGGCTGCAGAGGGGTGTGACAGCAGTAAGGTGTTTCCCTCAGACAACCAGCATCTGCAGCGATGCTGCCTTCTCACAAGGAAGGAAGGGTAAGGGTGCCTACTAAGGGCTTTCAAGAGCGGAGCTAATACTCAAAAAACACTTCACAAAATGACTGTGAGTGACAGGCCTCAAGCAGTTGTCCCTTGGACTATGCGGTCACGCAACCAGGTCGTTAAGACCAACACTAATCTACCTTCATTTTCAGGTTTCTCAAGAAACAACCTTCCACGGTGTGGGCAGCCGGGAAGTGACAAACGCCCTCATACCCGTAAAAGCACACGAGACCAAATTGGTCAAAATCTATGAATTACTGTATCATCAGTTGATTTATTTGGAACGTATTACGAATGCACAATCAACGACTGCCCCGACCAGCGACATCTCGTGGTGCAGGGGAAGGCTGGCAGCTAGGCACGACCAGGTCAAAACATAACAAAAACCCATGAAGTCACTGAGAACTGAACTGAGTCATGTAAGCGGGTGTAGATTAACAAGTTAGGGTCCACGAGGCAGTAGTTAGCGAAGGTTGGAGACCTAGAATGACATGGCTCAGAGTCGTTTACAACGGCACAGATGCATCCATTGTCTCTTTTTAAATTTTAATCTGAATTTCTCATGATCGAAATGATACTAATATCAGCGATTTTGTGAAAAGTTAAAGTGAGATTATGGTTCCTAAAGGTGTCTGGAGAAAAACAAAGCGACATGGTTCTAAATAAATCAGACATTGACGAGACTTCCTTTCTACTTTCCACGGTTTCGAACACCACATTATTAGGGTTTTCTATGAAAATCATTTTTCTCCTTTGATACTGTTAATATAGTTAATATAAGGGTAATGGTTTCGGTACTTCTAAACTTTAATACCATAAGGATCGTACTGATAGGAAAGCACTTCATAGGACGTTAATATAAGCAATATATAACAAGAGAAATTTTGTTGAGGAAATCCTCGCCAAGCAAATCTTACATGACTAAATTTGTATTTGGTATATTCCCTAGACTTCTATAAAACACTTCAATAGTTCCTATATAAAATCGATCGGAATGAATAAGCACCTTAAATCTAGCCAACTAATCAACATCACGACTAGTCCCACGTAATTTCTGATAATGAATAATACATTAATAAATTAGTAGTACGTGACTGCTATTTCTATTCAAAAAGTTCAGCTACATCTTCTAAATCAGTATGTTGTGCTATACAAGCTGAAAGTCTAGGTTCTCGAAATTTTTATAACAGTATGAACAAGTTGCTACAATTTCCATCTGAGTTTACAGTTATTTGGTCACATTACAAACCATTAGCCCACTTAGACTTCTAGTACTGTGTATAATTCTACAGCTATGAAAATGAAATCTGAATAAATTAGGTTAACCGAAGGTACAGATTCATGATAACTTCACTGACTCTCATAAGAAGTCTCTAAACGATAACGGGTTACACAATTTACCCAAGCCACAAGGAAATAGGCAAAGTAACTTCGTCGGAAGTGCTTAACTGTATGCTTGAATATGCCAACCAAAAGTCAAAGTGTGGTTGGGGAAACATACTTTCTCTACCGCAATTGCCTAATGGCGGATCAGTCCTCCATGGACTTTACGGCAAGGTCACTCCAAGGTTCTATGTCCCATGTATGTTTGGTTCCAGAAATGTAGCATTTTTCAGTCACAAACTTTATGCCCACAATGAGTGTCAGCTGAAATTCTCTGAGAAGGGTTAATATAGTTCCTGCGGCACTCGCAGCACTGAAAATATAAGGCAAAGTTCAGGCCTACCAAGTCTGATACAAGTATCTCTAGAGATCATTGTAATATCGGAACCTGTGTCTACTAGTAGCTTAAGTGGTTTGTCGTTAAAACGTATAGTTGCATACTTTATTCTCGACAAGAATCTGTTACATCTCATCGCTAAGGCAACATCGGAATTTCATGTTACTTCTTTGGTAAAGTACACCCTATTTTCTATACGAAGCTTATATCTATAATTGTCAGTCTTAAGCCTTCTTTCACAATATACTCGAGTAAAACATTTCTGGATAAATGACCAATCTAGATGTTCCTTCTCTCACAACATCAAACTGGATAACCTACGTGTCAAGACAGAGACTGACAGATACAACGCAGAACTTCGTACGTAAGTACATCCGTTCAGGTTGCCATACCACATCTGCACAGAGACTCAACTGTCAGTTCAAATCCAAGAGTGATGGTGAGGGTAGAAGTATTAACAGTTACGGAAAAGTCTAGGGTGCAAAGATATAATTCTAGAGGTATAATTCAGTAAGATAAATTTAGAAGGAGAAAGAGATTATGAGGAATTCAGAAGATTAGAATTAGAGAGAACACAAAGAGTGGATGCACCTGCGCCATCGCAAACGATTCTGAGCCATGTTGTTCAAGGTCTCTAACCATTGGTGACTTTCGTCTCGCGGACCCCAACCAGGTAGTCAACATCTACCAACATGACTCAGTCCACTTATCAGTGACTTCATGGATTTCTGCCATGTTTTGGTTTGGCCGTCCCTAACTTTCTTCCAACCTCCTCCTACACTACAAAACAAAGCTCGTCGAGGCAGTCGGTGGTTAGGCAAACACAACACATGTCCCAACCACCTCAACTGATGAAGTTTCACTACTTCATCTATAGATTTGCCATCCCTGCCTAGTATTCATTTTCTAACGACAGCATTGCTTATACGGTTGTCCCAGGAAACACGAGCAACGCTTCGGAGACACAGATGATCGAAGACTAGTAACTTACGAAAGTCCGCATCCGTACAGTAGGATGGAGCGAACTGCTGCACAGTACACTCGTCCTTTAGACAGCAAACGGATATCTTGCCTGCGCCATAGGTGATGCAGGTTGGCAAAAGCCAATCGAGCTTTCTGTATCCGAGCTGAGATTTCTTCAGTCACCAGCATTGATGAGACTCCCCAGATAAGTGGAACGGTCGACACGCTCAACTACTTCACTCCCAATCACTAGTTCAGGTGCCGACGCAAGTCACTCTTGAAGCAACACTTTGCATTTCGAGCGGGGAAACCGTATCCTGAACATGCTTGCATTGTTGCTTAGGGTGGTCAAAAGACTCTGCACTTTGTCAGCGTCTTCACCAAGTAGGACTATGTCATTGGCATATTCTAGGTCAATTAGCGAGCCACCTGGTAATAGGTCTAATCCTGAAAAATCTGACGAGCATAAGGTTATTTCTAAGAGCATGTCTCTGATAAAATTAAACAAAAATGGGGAAAGTGGACATCCTTGACTAACACCACTTGAAGTAAGCAATTCCGTTGACAGTTCGCCATAAGCTCTCATTCGACCATTGGTGTTCGAGTAGAGAGCTTGTATAAGGTTAATGTACTTCTCTGGTACACCTTTCGAAGACAGACACTGCCACAGAACCTCACAACCAACAGAGTCGAATGCCGCCTTAAGGTCCAGGAAAACAACTATTGTAGGACGCCTAAATGTGTTTCTGTGTTACAGGACCTGTCGTAGTGTGAAGATGTGGTCTATACAGCCACGTCCAGGTCGAAAACCAGACTGGTTTTCTCGAGTTTGCTCTTCACGAGCTTTCGTTAAGCGTCGAAGTATTACTGAGGCCAATATTTTAGATACTATATTAGTTAGACTTATTCCCCTGTGATTGTCACAAGAACACTTTTGTCCTTTCTTATAGATTGGGACAATCAGTGATTGAGGCCACTCGGATGGGATTATGTCCAGTTCCCAGATTCCACCTAAGATCTCAGTCAACCTAGCTGCTAAAACTGGACCACCCTCCCTAAATACCTCAGGTGTCAGTGTATAAGGACCTGCAGCTCATCCTCGCTTCAGATTTCCTAACGCTTTTTCAACTTCATTAAGACTTGGGGGACTTACGTAGACTTGCCATTCAGGATGACTGAAGATCGTGGGTAACCGAAGAATGGCTCGAGGCCAGTTGAACTGATCCCTAAAGTGTTCTGCCCATCGGTCCAGTCTCCTGGATTAAGAATGGATAGTAAGACCATTCCTTTCCGCAAAAGTCTCACTCACATTTCGGCTCCTAATACCAGTTTCCTTGATAAGTCGGAAAAGTTGTCTACTGTTGCCGATCGCCGCTGCCTTTTCCATCTCTCTCGCTTTCTCCACCCACCACTGTTCTGGGTCATTGCTTCGGCTTTTTATCAGCCTACGTCTAAGCTGACTCCGCTCCTCATCGCACTCAGAGCCAGTCGGGATGGATTTTCGAGCATCCATCAGTTCGGTAGATGCTACAGTGATCTATGGCTTCATTCTAGCCTTATGGTTTACCTTACTTGTAGATATCACTGCCGTTCCCACAACATTTTTGATAACATTCCAACCTGCTTCCGGATGAGAATCGGTTACATGGTCGCCTAACTCTCTTTCTAATTGTTCCAGAAATATATTCCTAGCTTTATTATCATTAAGTAAATCCCAGTAAGGCGCAAACAAATACAAGCTCGCACTAGGGCATGATCTGAATCTAAACATGTGCTCCAGAACGAGCGACAGTCCTCTACCGAACCCCTCCATCGGTGGCTGACGGCAATGTGATCTTGTTGGGTCCAACGCTGAGACGACCTTGGGGGTCGCCAGGTCAAGAGATGCTTTTCCTTATGCTTAAAGTTAGTGTTTGCTAGGAGTAGTTGATTATCTGTGCATAGTTGCAACAAAGGATGCCATTGTCTGTTCTCTGAGCCGCGACACCATTACATCCACCTAGGTATCTTTCATTTTCACTTAGTCCGTACATTGAATGCTCCAACATATAGTCTAGTCAGGAGACCAGAAATGACGTTCCGTGAACTCGCATCTTTTGCATTAGCTGTGCACTGTGATAAAGGAATGTGAGAAGAGTTGATCGTGGAGATCAGAGAGAGATTAGGGGGTATAAGAAGCATTTGATTTTGACCAATTTGGTCTCGTGTGCTTTTACGGGTATGAGGGCGTTTGTCACTTCCCGGCTGCCCACACCGTGGAAGGTTGTTTCTTGAGAAACCTGAAAATGAAGGTAGATTAGTGTTGGTCTTAACGACCTGGTTGCGTGACCGCATAGTCCAAGGGACAACTGCTTGAGGCCTGTCACTCACAGTCATTTTGTGAAGTGTTTTTTGAGTATTAGCTCCGCTCTTGAAAGCCCTTAGTAGGCACCCTTACCCTTCCTTCCTTGTGAGAAGGCAGCATCGCTGCAGATGCTGGTTGTCTGAGGGAAACACCTTACTGCTGTCACACCCCTCTGCAGCCAGCAGTACGACTTCGCCCTCAGACATTGAGTAGCTGCTTTTAGTCTCATTGTTCTCTAATCGACCTGCCTCGCATGGTAGAACCTTCAGGAACATATGTTCAAGCCAATATAGCTCGGTTGGGTCATCGCGATAGGCAAGACCGACCACCACGTCAAGGTAGCAGCTTCGGTCGGGAACCTCGAGGAAGCTTGGAATGATATCCAGAAAACTGTGGAAACAGCAGTGAATTCTGCAAGTAAGGCAGCCCTAATGTTAGGGAGACGCTCGAAAACTCATTCAGTCTAGCTCAAGGTAGCAGCTTCGGTCTGATGCTAATCAACCTACAATCCTGTGCATAACAACCCAGGGCTTAACTTGGAACTGTGTATGTGAAAAACTACTCCAAACAACATGAATAACCAGTTGCACATAACTTCAGTAACCTCAATTTCAAATTTCACTAACGGTCCTGCTTTTTGGAAGCGTTATATCTACCGTTCCTTCGAGTAGTTTGAAATTCGAAGATGGAAAATTATTCAGTCTATGGAACGGTTTCAAACTGTAAATTGGTTTGTAACGTATGGCGTCAACATATGGAAAAGAACTCTGGAGTGCACTAACAGGCTCTTTGAGTAATGGAGTTTGTAGTTTTGATGTTGCGCATAGTATCATTTGTGGTGTGATGTAAAAGATATGCGAACCACATCGATATGTCTATACGTTTTATCGTTCAGATATGATTTTTGAGACTTTAGGTGGTAATCGAGGTGACTATCGCAATTTCATAAAAGAGTTTAATATAATGTTTCCTAATAATTATTAAACGATAAAAATAAAACTTCAAAAGGTACATTGGTTTTTTGCGGAGCACTGATATTTTTCACATAGAATTATAGATAATGTTTTAGGCTCTGGAATATACAGCACAGTAGTTGGCGCGAGTTACGTCGGTGGCGTTGCGACGAACGACTGCTGGTTGAGAATCAATGTAGGGTAAATCCAGGTCTGCATATAACAAGAAGTGATGCAGAGTAATTATCTTCTTGTTGAGATTCGTCAGATAATAATTTGATAGACTCCTGAGTAATGATCCCAAATCTTCGGCAATAACAAGGCTAACATTTATGGAGAAGAAGAAGAAGAAGAAGAGAAACAAAAAGAATGTGGCGGGGATCTCAACGTAAAACATTCTTGTTCAAAGTTTAGTCATGACTCAACAGAAGCGTTTTTGGACAAAACAAAGTCCATAATTAGAACATTAACTGTACACCTGCACCTAAGTAGGCTAATGAAAATAATTCATTAGAATTATAACGAATAGGCAAATAACCTTATGAACGGAGGAGTTTCAAAAAACTAAATTGTTAGAAATTACGTAGAATTACAGAATATCGTAATGAATACACACCATCTGATGCTTTGGTGATATTTCATTTATTGTTCTTTTTATTGCCATGGTGTGACAGTATACGCCATGTAGTCTTGAAGTAATGTGTAGAAGCCCTCAGTTCACCAATATATGACCTGTTTAAGCATTCATTAGAGTCACATCAACTCCCAGCTGTATGGAAACAGGCTACTCTCTCTCCAGCCTTCAAGGGAACAGGTAGGAACGAACCAGCCCGTTATAGACCAGTCGCATTACTACCAATACTATCAAAGGTAATGGAAGGGCTGGCGAACGAACGGATGAGGGGGTAGATGGGTTAGAACAAAATCCACCTTGAAGCTGAACACGAGTCTTGGAGGGTAAGGTCGTGCGCATCCAATCTTATCATAGCATGGGACAGTTGAACATCCTGCTGGGACCGTAACATACCGGTGCACATAATATTTATCGACTTTGCGAAAGCCTGATTGCAAAGGTTGTGGAAACAGGCTTCACGGACGTACTCGTATCTTGGCTTAAAAATGACCTCGAGAACAGGAAGTTTAGTACCAAGGTAAATAGAGAGCACGCGAGTTAGCCAGTCTGAAAGTCGGGAGGTTCACTGGGGAATATCTCAGATCCGGCTCTCTTCCTGATATTTATTAACGACCAGTTATACACAGTTAGCTCGCCGGCACTGATCAACGCAGACGATGCACAGATCTGGAGGTCCAGGAGAAGCGACAAGGATTCGACTGAGCTCCAAAAGGATCTTACATCCATTGAGGAACGGGCAGTGAAAAACTGTCTAATACTAAACCAGCCGAAATATCACATCGTGTACATTCTGCCCCACATGACGCAAACGATCTACACCCTCAATGGATGTCCGCTCCCTAATGTCTCCTCCGAGCGCGATCTAGGTTTAATAACCACGGAAAGCCTGCACACGAGTCCGAACTACGTAGAGGACGCAGCCAAGGCAAGTTTGACTCTTCACTTTATGCGAAGACAACTTGGGGCTATCAGATCACTAATTTAATCTGGCTAGCCTATTATCTCTGTTTCTTTTCTCTCTCTTACACCGGTTCTCTCGCGCAATTTTCACTATCAATTAATTGACTAGATTACCATTGTTTACTTAGTCCTGAAAACTTACTCTTATTAGCATTAGACTTTTATCCCTATTATTCTCCACACTGCAACTAACGTGATAGCTGCTGGTATCCCGAAACCCTACTGTCCTGAAACAAACATACTCATTCCAATCACGGAACATACGAATTCACAAACAACTGCTAACTGACTAGAACTAGACAGTCGAGTGCCTAGACTCCCATTCATCGGACACTACCAAACACCTGGAATCATACTGAAGAAATAAGAATCTAGCGCAAAGAAATCAACTGGTTTATACTAGAAAAGATATACTAGAAAAAGATATTGGATGTCGGATATCGAGTGGCAAATTCGAATCCACATAGATATCCTGATTGACGCTATTTGACTCATTGAATAAAAAACTTGGAATGTGTTTGGATGACAGTAATTCTGAAGAATGGCGTCGTGTCTGTTCACGTAAAAAACAGCGTCAACGCAAAACTGCAGAATGTCTTTCTGTCCAGAGACCTTTTTCCACTTTAAATTATATGGATGATGACAGCTTGGAAACGGTTTTACGTAGATTTGATGGTATGCGATCTAGTTTACTACTTTCGAAACCAGATAGATCTTTCCTCGAAGGTTTATTAAAGTCTATTAATCAGGCATTTTCAATTATATCAACTACACAAATTGAGCCAAATAAGATTGATGTGATTTGTTTAGGATTGGGTAACCCAGCTGTCCATCATGCCAGTTTACGCCAGCTAGTTGTACTAGATCTGTTGTTGCAATTTCATCCACGTATGGAGCGGTCGCGTACTCACCTGTACGATCCCGTTTTCAAGTCTGTGGCTCGTGCTTTGATACGAAAGCTGGGGATGCATGTGAGTATATTTTAATTTGATATAGAAGTTGGTTGAGTTTGTGGTAGTCATTTTTCCTGATATAAGTATAAGCATATACGAGAACGAGGTAAGTTGTTTGTAATTAACGTAAAGCATAACACTAGTATTCATTAGCCCAATATGTCACATCACATGGACATGTTAAGATAAAACTAACAATATGAGTAGTAAAAACGTCGTAGTAACGTAATATCAATGGTAATAAGAAGAGTTAAGTACTGGAAACGCCGGTTTATGAAGTCAAGAAGATAAGGAGTAAATGCATCCGCGTCACTCAGTGATCTGGGGCCAAGAATAATGTCTTCAATCGCTTATGGTGTCCATTGCGGGGACCCCATCCAGGTTATCTGCACTTATCAAAAAGGCTGAAACTTAGTCAATTACTTGGTTGAATTATGGAATGTTTCAGATTACTTTTGCATAAAGATCTCTTAAACGCAAGTAGTGATATCTAACTATTAATACCATACTCATGTATTTCATCGAAAGTCTGAAATATTTGCAAAAAAATCTTTATACTGGCCAAGTATAGTTGGTTAGGAGATACATCGCCATAACGTTTCCAGCAGTCTGGAATCATTCACACATCAGTAAATAAGTTGTTTTAATTCTTTTCATGCTTGTATAATCGTTGTTGACATATACATTCTCGGTGTTATTCGAAAATTATAGTTAGCGAATTTGTCTGGAAAGTAGCGTGTGTGACTCAGCACGGATACAGAAGGCTCGGCTGGCTTTTGCCGGATTGCGTCATTTATAGTGTAGGCGAGATATCCCATTGCTAACCAAAAGACAAGTCTATTGCGCAGCAGTTCGCTCCGTCCTACTATACGGATGCGAAACATGGCCGGTAAGAGTTGAAGATATTCGTAGGTTATTAGTATTCGATTACAGATGTCTTCGAAGCATTGATCGTGTATCCTGGGGCAACCAAGTAAGCAATGCTGTCGTTAATAAATGAGTATTGGGTAGGGATGGCAAATGAGTAAATGAAGTATTGAAAATTCACCATTTGAGGTGGTCGGGACATGTGTTACGTACTCCCAACTGCCTCGACGAGCTGTTTTCTGGTATAGGAGCAGGTTGCAAGAAAGATAAGGGCGGCCAAACCGAAACATGGCATAAATCCATGAAGTCACTGATAAGTGGAATGAGTCATGTTGGTAGATGTAGACTACGTGGTTGGGGTCCGCCAAATGATACTAACCGATGGTTAGAGGTCTTGAACGAAATGGGTCAAAATCGTATGCGATGGCGCAGGTGTATCTACATTTTGTGTTCTCTGAAATTCTAATCTTCCGTATTCCTCATCACCTCTATTCTTCTCTTTCTAAAGTTATCTCACTGAACTATACTTCTTGAATAACATCTTTGAACCCTGATCTTCTCGATTACCGTTAAGACTTACACTATCTCTACCGTCAAGTGGTTTGAACTGACAGTTGCGTCCGTGTGCTAATGTGGTATGGCAACCTGAACTTATTTACGTAGGTATGAAGTTCAACGTTGTAACTGGCTGACTGCATAGCTCGTCAGTGGTGTTTCATGCTGTATCCTGCGAAGAATCTTCAGTCTACTATAATAATTTATTCATTTCGTTTTTTTTCTCATTGTGTTAGTATAATGTAACAGCATTTGTTCAGGTCCTTGGTCCTAATTTGGTTTTTTCCTGTTCAGGTTCTACCTAATAATAGAGAAGGTTGTTACAAACTATCACCTGACCAATTTTATTTCGTTATGCTACCACACTGCTCTCCAGCACTTCTCAACAATTTACTATGTACTAATTGGTCGCCTGATATACTTTCACATGTAGTTCTGTTCTCTAATGGATGGAAAGAAGTTTGTCAAGAATTGATTGATTCAGGGGCTTCAGATAGTTTAGGGATCGCAAAGGAATTGGCTTATATCTCTGCTCTGGAATCCGTGGTTCGAATTCCTGACAAAGAATATTACTTACATTGGTCTTCAGGTAATAAACTTATGGAATACAGAGATTTCGAGGGTATGCGTGTGCAGTGTTTTCCTCCTCTTGAAATGGATAGTTTGCCCAAGAATGTATGGAGTATGCCTCCGTATTCTGAAAAAACAAATATAGAAACGTCTTGTTCTAGTACATTATCCCAAAGTAGTAACTGTTATTCTGATGTAATTGGTGCCAATGTTGTGCCAAATTTTATCGATTCAAGCGCCGATGACTAGAAATAATTTATGCAAAAACATTTTAATGATTTAGTCTTTTACTTTTACCCTAATGATCTTCAGAATCATGATGTGAATCCATTTTGATTTACTGTTTATATTGTGATCTTATAATTCATTCTCACAAAATTTGTAGTTACTGTACATATTTCAGTTTTATGTTTATAAAAAAATATTCTCATTCTGGAGTAAACACAAACCTCTATTTTTTCGGTTGAATATAAATTCAAAGCTTAGTCGATCATTTGAGTGGTTAGCATTTAAATCCTGAGTAACAAAAAACCTGTCATTACAAAAATGTTTTTACAAAATCAGTTATTAAAGCTGTACATGTGTATTAACAGTTATTTAGTATGTACAGTAGTCCATCGTAAAACAGGTAAGGAAATTGTTCAGGTTAATTGTCTTCTCAGTGAATATTAAAGACAAGAGGGAAACAAACCGGTTATTATAACAACATATCGACTAAGAAGTAGAGACCATAATGCATTTACGGGTTTAAATTTTGGCTTCTATACGAAGTTCTTGTTTCAGTTTGTCTGGTGCTATAAACCTTTACACAATTTTCTAGTTCGTTCTTCCTCTGGTTAGTGTAACTACGCAACGGAAGTTGATGAGATGTTCAATAATTTATTTGTTAACTGATTCGGACGTTTCATTTGATGTCTAAGATAAGAAATACTGAGAGATCTGAATTGAAAGTCAGGTTCAATACAATCGTATTCAGAAGGTTATTTTCAGGCTATGAATTAAATTATAGTTGTCTGTCATAAAATCGACCCTGGACTCGTTGGGCGTAGATATATGTGGATTATATGAAATGACCTGTAAAATCTCGAATATTTACTTTTCTTGAATGCAGTTAGCATCGTCCTCAACCGACCGATCGAATATGTCTTTCAGTAGTCACGCGAACCTCAGGTTATTATTGAGAGTTGTTCGGTTCGCCTAGCTATGTGAATATAATTAGCTAAACATTATATATTGTATCTAAACGACTATAGAGTATGTGAGCATTCGTTTTAAGTTTCTGTCACTTCACTTAGACTTAATGCTTTTTTGTTATTCTAGAAATCAGTGACATTTTAGTTTGGTAATTTTTGTATCATGTGCCTGTTTGATGGTAGCTGGAATTCATCTCCGTAAAATTGCTTTATTAATGTCGCATTACTATAATGTTCCTCAGGTCAATGTTCCACTGGTATAGTGCTACTTTCGAAAAGTTGGGAAAACGCTAGTGGCGTTACAGATAATACTTTCTAGCCCAATAAGGTAGCGTACCTATTTAAAGTACTCAGTTTACAGTAGATAATATGATGTTTATTATTAATAAGTTACTGATTATTAAAACGTCTGAGCACTAATAAGAGTCCATTTATCGCTCGGGTATTATTAGTGGCATTGTCTTTAGACGCCCGTGTTTCGAATAGTTTTGAAGAGATCTAGTTCCTTTTGAAATGTGGATACCTTTTGGTGACCGGCGTTGATAAGTAGCGAACCTGATTTTGAAGCGTATTTCTGATAGGCTTTAACTATTCAATAACAAAATCTAAAATCATACCTGTGAACCTGTGTCTTTCTGCTTAAGGCATTCGACTTTCAGTCATAAGTCCAAATTTGTTAGCTCTATTTACCTACTTTAGTTTGGACAGTCGGTTACTATAAGCAACGCTCACGCCTAGTGTACCTCATGACCAAATAACCTTGGTAATAGGTTAGTTGAAAAAACGAATATTTGTACTTAGTATTTGTTAGCCAAATAGACTCTATTCAAGCCTTGCTTTCTCGCTCCAGTAGCCGTTTTGTTTGTGTGTGTTGGGTGGGGGGAAGTTGCCATACATCGCATTCAGATCGTGGGATCCGCATATCATAACAAAAATCTCCATACTAAGTCACTTTCTGAGTTTACATATTTGTTTTTCTGGGTAATACAATTACATGGAAAATGATCAAATCCTAGTTAAATTTCGATATAATGTGGGCATATTGTTAGATAATAAATGTTTACTATCAGAATATAACGTGAATATTCCTTTTGATAGGCTATTTAACAGTGTTATCGATGAAGCGAAATGAATCAATTTTCCAATTTTTAATTTTTTACTTAAATCAACCAATAAAATAGTTGAGTAAAATATTTAATCCACATCATCATAACTTCCTGTATCCAATAGTGTTTCCATTATTTGTATTGACAATTTTTGCATTATTTGCTGCAACTGATAATTGAACCATTCTAATTTTTTATGAATTATATTCAATCTAAATGAAAGATAATAATAATAATGATAATCAATAAATCACTGATATAATTCTAATCTCAATGATATTTTTACTTAAGAGCTTCATTTGTAATGTAAACAACGTTTACTTAAATTTATTCTCGAATTATTCTACATTACATAATAGTTTGTAGGTTGAATGTGCAAATTTAAATTATTTAGTAAATTGAACTTCTGACTATTGTTTGTTTGTTTGTTTATATGTCAAGTCATCTCGCGTTGATTAGCATTAATCCCTGGACAAGTAAAGTGATGTCTTCGGTTTAAGATCAGTCTAAATTTAATAACTTGAACCGATTTGAAGCTTTTGATTAGTTTTAGTTTATCATGAACAGTATGGAATCTGACAAATATAAATCGATTCACGTTGTTATTTTTTCCATCAAAAATAACAACCCTACAATAATAACATGATGAACATACGCAATTCAATGATATTAAAAATTGAACATTGAAAGTTTCGAAAGAATTAATGAAATTGAGGAATAAGAAATTCTAATAGAATAAGTAACTTTTAATATTTAAAATAAAATAGAGAGATTATAAGTCTGTATCACTTTAAGTGATCTTTCGATCTGCATCATTTAATGTTACTTACTGACTAAAAGGGTTTCAACCAGTAATTCTACACTTTTAGACATGAATATGACTAATAGTCAGCGTCTTTATAAGTCAATGGTATGCATTGATATAGTCCCATTTAGCTTTATCCTATTCTGAAATTTACATCCTACTTGTAAACAGCATATTAAAGAATGATTACCATTTCTGAATATTAAATACTCTGAAGGTACATGAAAAAAATGTTTGTCTACCTACCGTTGATTTATAAGTTGGACAGTTTCGTCTACTTCTTGTCTTGAACGTTCATGCTTTTGACAAATTAAATCAAAAAAAGCAGAATTATTTAGTTATTTGAATTATTGTTTAAAAATGTTTGGATATTCATCCATTATCCCAAGAGAATTATTTGTAATTCTAATTCTAATCCTATCGGTCGTCTTAACTGCCAATGTCACAGACTTCAATGTTGTTTCCTATTCGATCTAACTGTATAAATATGCATTATCTGTAACGTTTTATGATCCGGATCCCTAGTCCGGGATCCTTATCCTTTTCTGAACTGGGACCTCATATTTTCTGGATGCTTGTAGAATAAAGGTTCTACTTCATATGAAGTTTTCTTTTTTCACTCAATGGGGGTTTGGGATGTTTGGATTAGAGTAGCCTGTCGTGTCGCTGGATTCTCGATCCTCGCTCTCGTTTTCTGACTAAGGTAAACTCATAATAGTTCAAGCATATCAAACTGACATGTTTACGTGCATGCGTAACAAAAAATCCCTACTAACATCAATGTTACGTATACTAATAGTATCAAGTATAATAATTGTTTAGTTGAGTGTGTATTCAGGTTAATTTACTTTGAAGATACTTTTTTTCCATAGACCGGTAAAGTTCAGTTGGAATCAGTTAAACATGTCATTCTAGCTTGAGATTTATCCCTGTTATGCACCCATGATCCCGATAACAATGTTTGGGTAGTGTATTTACAAGTGTTCTATTCATAGATCATTTCGTACAAAAAAATAAATATATTACTTTAAACTTGGGTAACAAGTTAACAGAAGTTTGAAAAGAGATTTCGATTAAAAAAAGTGAGGCTACTCATAGGACCTAGTCTGTATAAACATTTAGCAATCTAAATATTGTTGTGAGCTCATTTGCTTAGTTAGAAAAAATGAATCAGTTAAGTGTCAAACTTGATCGTTCCAGTCTGAGTTGACACAAAATAGAAGAGTACTACGATCGACCACCATTCTGCCTTCAAAAGTTTTATTTATTCAACTCTGTTGAAACAAATATGTACTAACTAGAAGTATCTTTGTTTCAGAAAACATTTAAAATAGAAGAAAAAAAGATGCAATTACTCTTGGTATGTTTGATCTAGCTGGTTTCAATATCCATTTTTGAACATAAACTTTAGCATATAGCCAACGTGGAAAATTCGCTTCTAAACTATCTAACCAGTAAATTTGTCGAGAAATTAATTCTTGTGTTGCACTTTTTCTGGCTTTGTTAATATCACCAACTGCTAAACCGATCTAATCAGTAAAAATATAGAAGATGCAATAATAGAACATTGAAGTAATTCCTTCGCGTTATTATCGATTGATTAGTAATTTTATCTGAAACCAACATTCAACAAGGTCTGATCTATTGGGTTCGTCGAATTAAACTAATAACCTCAGAAAGTGTATGAGTAAGTGAAGTATATCATAACTACATGATAGATAGATTCTTTTTTACTAAATCGATCTGATGATTACTCATAAATTTATGATATATGAAAAGTGTAACGGTTAATTTAAACTTCGATTAATTTAATAAACGCTTACGTATAAAAAATAATGGTGAGATTTCAGTTCGAATTATTAATGTTTGGACAGCGTTTGGCTTGACTTGGAAATTTTCATTAAGCTGATCTAAGCTGAATGAACAATTACCTTTAAAACTCTGCCTGGTTATATGTAAGTATATTGCTAGCATCATTCGTTACCTTTAGATATTATCTCACTATATCGCTAAATGAAGTTGAAGATCTGGCTTAATGGATTAAAGTTATGGTACTTTCTGCGGGAACTACAAACTCCAGTGTCAATTTTGTGTTAGACATGTTGTATAAAGTTATGAGAAATATGATAGAAGGATAAGATTCTGGTCTAATACTTCATGGTTTTCCAATTGCCAGTTTTTGATGAAAACTACTCATATGATGTATATCATTTTAATTTTATATGATTGAATATAAAAATACTGTGTACATCTATTTAAATAATGACCTTATAGTTTGGATAATATTTTCACTAAATTGATGGGTGAGAGTATCCAAACTATCTCTTACTGACCGATTTTCTATGAGGAATGGAGAGTGAAATAGAGTAACTTGTTTTGATTAAAATTATTTAAGGATATCGGTTAATCGCTTAGTAGTGGTTAATGCTATGCTCACTCAGTACTGATCAAATTCGATAGACAGATAGATAGTTGGTATATGGCCACTAATCTAAGTGACCTGATATCATGTACACCAAGTCTTGATGTTAGACGAAGAACTTGAAAGTCAAAGGTTATGTATGTATGAGATTGAAGTGGATAAAGTAATAACATGAAGTCATCAATTCAAATCTTTTCATGACACAATTTTTCTTACCTACCGCAATTAAAATTATCTCGCCCTATGAATCAACCGAAATATTCGAGATTATGAATTTTTTTCTATAACAATAACATAACTGCAATTTACCATTATTATGATGAACGAATAAAATTACTTCAACTAAACAACTTATGAAAGTTAAACAATCAATCTTTGTTTATTCCAATCTTCATTATAAAGACTACTGAAAAGTTGCTCATTCATAGTTGTTTTTTTTTGAATTTCTCAACATTGCTCACTTACATGACCGAATTTTGAGAAATTCAAGGCTTTCAGCTAACTTCTTACAAAATCCTCTACATGCACACATCCTAAAATCAATCACATTAAAAACTTTCTTTTCTCATTTTAATATTGAACAATTTACTTACCGTTAAATTGATCAATGTTATTGGTATTAAAACAACAAATGCTACATAAAAAATAAATGTCAATTTTGGATAAGGTATAGTCAATATTTGATTTTCTAAATATAATTCAATAATATTTATTGTATACTTATATTCACCCATCATCATCATTAATGTATCAAAGAGGGTTAGACCAATATTATTGAACATATGAATGAATTGTCTTTTATGCGTTTTTGTTGTGATATTATTAATTGAACGGTTCAGTAAATTTGTATCATCAATAAAACAGTTATTGATATGTATGTTATGATTGTCAGATAGAGAATTGAACTCCTGAACAGAAAAGAAAAGAGAAATAGGAAAAAGATCAAACATATGAATTATTATAGATCAAGAAGATAGATGTCTATCAACAATTTTTATAGCTATCAAAAATACAAATAATTCACTTCAGCAGAACTTCAGTAGTTGATGATGAAACGACATGGTTCACATTCAATACAGTAAACAGCTTCGTGCGTACAAACCTTAATGTCACCTTTTCATAGTTCAATTATTGATTTTTTCTATTATTTTATTTCAGTAACTCTGCGCATTATTCTACCGTCATTTATTGGGTTGAAAAGAATCGAGGAAAGAATAACACAGAATTAGTTTTTACTTCTAAATCAATATTTTCTAGTCATCCTAATCTTAAACTTTCTTTTAAATTAATTGGAAAGATTGTTAGATTTCTTACTGAACGAAGTTAAAAGTTAATTACAGAAACAGTAACTTACGACTGATGATTCGTTCCACTTTTTTATAGAAATCAAAATAAAGTTGCTGTTGGGGATGTTAGATCCCCAGAACTCGCTTGATAAATAAATGCCTTATCTTGAATTTCACGTTTGCGAGCATAGGCTGATCAGTTGACCTTGAGACTTAATTTCCCACCAGGGAAAATCATGGCTGTGATTGGCTGCTGTGTATTTTAGTGAGCTATTTTTTGACTGTCCTAAGGACGTTTCTGTGATATATAATTAGACGAGAGTTATGTGCTTGATGGTATTGTGATTGCTGAGTGTTTGTGGAATATACTTTCTACGCTTACCAAGATTTCTGTTTTACAGCTTGGGATTCAAGGTAGCCTACCTGGACGCTGGTTCATTGTCTCGTTCGCGTTTATCGACTAAGGTGAACTCGTAATAGCTTCAAGCGTACCTAGTGACGAACATAACAGTTGCATATTGAAAGTGTAAATAAATATACATGTATATATCTAATTTCTCAATGGGTTTTTTTGTCACTGAAAAGTTTTTTTTTTTTTTAATTTCGTCTGTAAAAAAATTATCAAATAAACTACATCAAAACATGATGGAAATGATCATTGAAAGGCATTACTTTCATGTTGTCAACTATACTAAATAATGATTCATATATAAGTAATCAATAAATAATTAGTTCAAGTTATCAATGAATTGTCATTTGAATAATGAAGTTAATGATGAAGTGTTTTTCTATCGAAATTTTCTATTGATTCAGTAACACGAGTTAATGAATACGAACTAGATAAACAGAAGTATTGTTCAAAAATGTTTGACCATACAATGGAATATCGATATAGATATTAAAAATCGAGTTGAGTACGTATTTATTAAGTTACGATCTAGAGTAATTCCACCTGTTTAGGCAAAATGCTTTGAATCCGTTGGCCAGACACCATCAGTAACGACCTTCTATGGGAAGGAACAAACCAGATTCTAGTGGAGGAGGAAATCAAGAAGAAGCGGTGGAAGTGGATAAGATACACATTGCGGAAAGCACTCAACTGCGTCACAAGACAAGCCCTCACTTGCAGTCCTCAAGGTCAAAAGAAAAGCAGAAGGCCAAGGAACACATTACGCCGAGAAATGGAGACAGGAATGGGAAGAATGAACAGAAATTGGACGGAACTGTAAAAGGAAGCCCAAGAGAGAGTAAGTTGGAGAATACTGGTCAGCAGCCTCTGTTCCTTTGGGGGTAACAAGCATAAGCAAATAAGTAAATGATCTAGGGTAGGACATGAAAGTTATGCAATAATCTATTATGAATTTTTGAATGATTAACAATAGGATACTTTTGAAATCACTTTCCAGTTAATTAACCAATACATAGTATTCATGTGTTTCCGAAAACACAAGTGAATAACTGTATTTTGATGTTGACTTGAGTGTAAGTTTCCATTTCATCTACTGAACTGTCACATTTTCTTTCCTCATTCATAAATTATAGAGAATTAATCATTAACTCTATTGTTTAGTTATGTAACATGACTGTTTCAATTAGAACATATTGTGATTTACCATTTACGGTACTTCATGATAATGCAATATTTTTATGTGTCTGTTTCCATCAGTTTTAAAGTGTGCATAACACAGAATACCATATCGTCGTTGATTGGTCATCTTAGTGTCTTAACGAGTTGGTTTAGAGAACTGATTGAGAAACTGTGGGAGTTGTGTTTCATTTTAGCATTTACGTTAACTGTGTTGTCTGATTTATAGTAGACATAAGCAGAAGAAAATATTATGACATAATTCTGCTTAAGAATTTATTCTATGTGGCATAAAATATTTGAGAGATATTTCATACTTTGTTTGTTTTTTATGATTTAAAATATAAAGTTTTAATGAAAATAGTTGGATATTTTAATAAAAATGTGTGTTCGTTTGAGGCGAATTTTTTTATTACGGACTGATACCAACTGGATACGCATTGTTCGCAACTCTCAAACTTGGACAAAACAAGGATATTCGTTAGTGAGTTAGCTGGAACCAAACAGAAATCTTCCAACGAAAGTTGACATGCTTTAAGCGACAAAAGATTTAATACGCTAATTGAACCAAAATCCTATGAATGTCCTGTTTTTTTCTCATAAATTGCGTTTAAGTGCTTCAAACTTTATTCATATTAAAAAATAATATATAACAGTAATTACTTTCAATTAGAGTTATGGAGATTAGTGTTTTTACACATTTGAAATCATCAATCAATCAATCATTGTTAGACCACCATTCGAAACCTGGAAGCACTGAAAGACGGCCGTTTCGTCCTCGTATGGGACTCATCAGCAGTGCACCTCGTAAGATTCGAACCCGGGACCTTCGATCTTGTGCGCGAACGCCTAACATCTGAACCACTGTGTCGGCAGAATGATGTGAAGATTCACGATTATCAGAGATTAACATAATTATATTGTACATATTGGTTCTGCCTATGATAAATTATCGTTTATATTGTATAAAATCTTTATTAAAATTCTAACAACACACAACAATCAGATATTAGTTTTAAACTCAGCTTGAAAGATATAAACTTATAGATAGATATATTCAGTAAAAAAGTTAACCTCTTCATTTGGTAATTGAAGTAATTGTTGAAATACTATTGCAAATCCAATTAGAAGATATAAAAATAACGGTAATAATTTAGCTACTGTAGCTGTTACATGTGTAAACATAATGATAAATATTCCGTAATCTTGTGATCTATAAATAAAACAAAATAAAAAGAGATAACAGAGAATGACAAACATTTATAATTTTCCAATTAGAGTTATGGAGGTCATTGTTTTTACAAATTAAAATTATGAAACAATCATTGTTAGACTACCATTAGAAATCTAGAAACACTCACTAGACGACCGTTTCGTCATGGCATGGGACTCTTCAGAAGTGCGCATCCAAGGCTCTTACCACTCGCTGGCTCCGAACGCCTAACCTCTAGACAACTGGGTCGGCATCCAGCGGTGTTAATGTCTAATTCTGATCAATCTAGAGATTTTGCGCGACCTCACCAATTTGTCTTCGGCAGTTGTAGCCTACACACGACTTGGTTGAACTCTACTGGTCACGCCTCACTTTAATTCTGAGAATTTCCTCACGAAGCTAGTCACTAGTGAGCACTTTGTTTCTAATGGTGGTCTAACAATGATTAATTCATGATTTCAATGTGTAAAAGATTTATCAATTATTCAAGTTTTACATAACTACATAATTTCTGACTGAAAATTTTCTGTGAAAGAGAGATATTGAAAAATAAAGGATAGAGTAAGTTTAAACTATAAGAACTATTCAACAATAAAAGTAAATTTTATTGAGGTTTATTCTATAAAGGTTAAATTGTAACGCTTAATTACTCACGAAAAATATAATGAACTTTGGAATCAAAATGTGTCACAGATTAACCGTTTGTTTGTAGTTGTCTTTCGTCATTAAATATTGGACAATGGCATGTTCTGTCTACTTCACTTGTATGTTCACAAAAAAAAATACTTAGTTCGTCTTTCATGAGTGATATAATTTAATTCTGACCCCGAATTGATTTAGGGTCCGTTGCAGTCTATCAACTCTATTGGTCCTAAAATACGTCTGTACCTAATGATTTACACCTGGCATTCGAAGGCTGTTAAGGTTATATAAGCTGAATTTCAACATATATTGTGTTTAACGGTCAATTTAGTTAGTACGGATCATAAATCATGTCTGTCTACTGTATCACTGTGTTAGTAAATTTGTCAAACTTCCATTCAGAAACTCGTCAATTAACAGCAGTTATTCTTCTACTTTAGTTGAGTTTGCCTTTATAATACTGCACTCACTTGGTTTTGGATTTTAATTGAAGTAGATACTAACCTGGAGCCTCCTTGTAGCGTAGCTAGGTAATAAGAGCAATCCTGTTGGCTAACTTGGACGGTCGGTGGAGGTCGGACTATTCAACCAATTCAGTTGAATTTAAGAGTCCTCAAGGCTCACAAACTAAAAACTACAAGGACTTCCTGATGCATTTGCTTGGGTAGATTAACCGCATGAGCCTCGACCTGTGTAATTTATGTGCGTAGGTATATGAAAAGGTACGCCTGTGGGTTCGCGCTAAATGAATATGAACTGAAAAATCTGCTTTAAAAGAAAATGGTGAGGCCTGGACAATGACAAAATACAAATAAGTCTATAAATAAAAAATATCATGTGTGTAGCAAATGCCTGGGATAGGTGACCATCAAACCCCTTAGAATGTTTGGCTTGTATGCAAGCGGTGAAATGCTTTGGTAAAAGCTTAAGTATCAGTGGTATGCATGTAACGGGTGAGGGACAGTCTTCGGTAACAACTACGTTCATGAGAGTGGTGATTATCAACTCTCTCAAGAGGTGGGTATACCTATGTGTATACCAAAGGACACATAGGTGTAAAGATGGTGGAAAAAATTTTCAGCTCAGGTGAATAATTATGGCAAAGTTTCGTTTTCCGAGCTGAATGTTTTGATTGTGGAGCTTTCATTGTTCTTCTCAACATCATCATCAACACTATCTTTGGGTAGTGAAGTATTCGATTTTCTGCCCTAATGACTCGTAACTTGTCTCATTAACCTCGGTATTGATTGGTTGTTATTGCCTTTTAACCACTCATCGTCTCCCTATTGATTTTGATCCTGTCCCCACTTTTATTTCATTTTTGATCCTAAGGTTGTCTATGATTTTTCTGATTGGTTAATAAATTCGGTCAATTTCAGTGTGCGTGTTGATTTCTGATCAATCTGAGAACCAAGCATCTAAAAATTTTCTAGTGTTCTTTGCATTCCCTCTATCCAGTATTTCAACAATGTTCCAATCAAATGCAAGCCCACAGTTGTTCGTATGTATTGATATAGGAGAAGAAATGTCATAGCTTTAGACTGCTGATTAGTGTTCATGTTGGCGAAGCTGAAGAGTATGTCCACTTTGTGCAACGTAGCATTTTTCACAGTTTAAACAGTTCATTTTGTAGATAATGTTCGGTTTTTCTTCTTTTGTCATTTTGTCCTTTGGTTTACATAGGATTGACTGAAATGATTCTGTCGGTTTGTGTGTGTGCTTCACCAATTCTAAACGGCTTCAGTAATCTTGTTGTCATTTCCGATATATCTGTCATTCATGATACGATGATCAATTTGTTGGTTCATGTACTGGATTTCGCTTCTGTTGACGGTTTCAACTGATACTTATTTGATGAAGTTGCTTGGATAGCTGTTCTTCTGACAGATAGTCATCAGATATTCTTTATGTTTTTTTCATTCTTCATATGTGATGTGGTGTGTTTTCGCTCTGCTGTATAAAATTTGTACACAACTGATTTTTTGAATTTTTGGGTTGTCGCTATTGTAGTTGAGACTTAGATCTGTGTATATCGTGTAATTTTAAACACCAAGAATGTGATATTCGAAGAAATAGAAAGATTTAATTTCTATTGCAATAGAAGTCCATTACTAGTGGGTCAATGAAGAGATATTGTACAGAATAGTGGTATGATAAATGATAAATGTCATTTAGTTACAGTTATTAGACAATAAGTGTCAATATGTTTTAATCAATTAGTAAAGTGTTAACATTCGACTCTAAGAAAAACCTTAACAATTGAAATAGTTAAAATTTTACTTTTTTAAGAACAAATCTATTCACTCATAATATAAGCTCAGTAGTCGACTAATAAATTAGTCTTATAATCCTATGAATATTTTATATTGGATCCAATGTTCATTTCTTTTTAATAATTTTACAATGAACTGTTCGTTTATGTTGAAAGTGGTATTTTTCTTTGCGCTTCAATGTTAAACGGCAATTATAATTTACGTGGTGTTTCAGTTAAGAGTATCATAGACAACATTATCATTCCTAAACAAAAGATACACTTTTTAACAACAACAACAACTATAAGACATTCAATGTTGACTATGTACAAATAATACTAACCGAATGGTTTGTAAAAGTAAATTCATCCAAGCCATAAACATCATCATTGTTGCTAGAACAACAAAATATGGTTGAATAGTTTCAAATAAATTGATCATTGAATTTATAATAAGTAATGTTTGAAAGATTAAAACAAAGGAGTTATTCCAATTTTTAAAATATTTCAATCGCTAAATGATAGTTAAAGAGAAAATAGAACATAAGAAAAGAAAAGTAAATGAACATTTTAACAAAATGTCTACAATGAAACAATTCAATGAAAAAAAACTGAAAAGCTTATGAATACAAATAGTGATTTAAAGGATGACTTCTTCTATCAGATAAACTTTAGGTTTTGTCGATACAAACAAGTTATTACAGATGTACCATATTCAATCACTAGCCCTTACAGTTCAAGATGACATAATGAGAGTAGAAGAAAAAAACCACGCACCTCCGACAAAAACTTAACATGTTGGATGAAAAACATAATTTATTCAATGTTAAATGAGTTCTATGTATAGCCAGTTTTGATATTCTCTCTTCAGTTCTTCACAGTTTCAATAAAATTCTAATTATCAGAACATGATTTCTAATGAATGATAATATCGGTAAGCTTTTGGTGTATCAATGATTATATATTGCATATGCTCGTCAAGTGATATGTTTGGATGCTATCACGAGTTCCCCTTACTCCGTAAACGAGAGCGAAGACAAATGATCCAGTGACACAATAAGTTATTCTAATCCGTTGTCCTCGGACCGGTTAATTAAAGGAAGAAGCCCTGACAAGGCGTAAAAATTATATTCTACAAGCACCCAGAAAATACGAGGCTGACAAGCACACAAATCCAGTTTATTTATACATGAGAGAAACGTCCATGGGAGAGCCACAAAACTAGGGTACTAATAAGATAATATATCAACCAATGGCAGTCAACGATTTTCCGAGTTGAAAAAGTGGTCTCAGTGTCAACTGAGTGGCCTATGCTCAGAAACACAAAAATCCGAAATTAAAACCCTTATCAAGTGACTTCTGGGGGATCTAATGCCCCCAACAGTATTATTCCTCTTTTTTAAAATATACAAACAATACATAGCTTTTGGATACTTAAATTATGTTACCAAATACATAGGATATTGGTTTAACTTAGCTGCTTACTTTAGGAATAAATATATTTTCTAATATTTTTGCTTGTAAATTTCATATCATGAAAAGTTAAATACTAACTACATCATTAATTTAGTGAATTTTTAGGAAATTATTGACTTGTTAAAGTGACGTAACCAAAAAATATCATTTAATATTCATCCTCGTTGTTGTGATTCTCTTTTATGAATTATTTACTTCAGTAATAAGTAATTTCTAAGTGCACAAACGTATGAAGTGTGAAATCCTGTATTTGGATAACGACATTTTACACTACTTTCTTATCATGGTACACAAAGAAATCAAATTCTAGATATGATTTTAAAAAAAATAAAGTTTACAGAATAAAGCTAATTCATTGTTCAATAGTTGAAAATAAGCTATCAAATGGTTAGTTAGGTACATAGAATTTAAATGTAGCATGCTCACTTGTGATTTAATTTGTAAACTTTGTATAAATACATTTAATAAACTAATGAACAAAATAAATATCAATATACTTCTGTTGGAATTTGATTCATTTGTATGATTGTGTAACTGAAATAAGATCAATGAAAAACAAAAGAGTTAAATAACAAAATTTTGTACTGTGTTTAAGAAATATTGCCGAATCGGATTTGAGTAGCATGTCGTGTCGCCGGATCCTCGATCCTCGCGACTAGGTAAACTCGTAGTAGTTCAAGTATATCAAGTTGACGTGTTTACGTGCAGGCGTAACAGATTTCTAGCACCTTATGTACATTTGAGTTTGTTTACGTTTTTTTTCGTCAAGTCCTTTTATTAGCTTATTTAAGAAAGAGTCTTATCTAAACAATTGTACTTTTATTATTGTTATGCCTGTATGAGCATGTATGGATGAGTATTGCCTACCGTCTACACACATATTCGATCTATTCTCATTGATGTTATTCGGTTAAATAATTCGATGACTTATGAATTTTTATATGTATGCATGTGTACATTTTAATCCTGTTCACGAACTGGCTACTCGACACGTATATCATTTCACTTTCGCTCCTCCTTCCTTTTCGTACGCCTTTGGTTTTGTGATCTGTGTGGTGCGGTACTAAACGTCATCAACGCCTTGAATTTCGTCTTCTGATTTACGCACCGTTGGGCGTTATCAGGAAGAGCTGTATATGAAATGTAAGAGTTATATAGAATGTCCACCGCTACGGATTGTTTTTAATGTGCATAAAAATCACTTCAACCCATTTTCCGTTGAAATATGTACTGAAGATAACTGATGAAAGCAGTTTCTCGACATGAAATTATCGAAACTTTCTAAGAAAAGTGCTGAAACCTTATTCAAAAGTAAGATTTACTCTGATTTGAATGAATAAACTTGTTTATAAAAGAATAATTTCTATCTTTACAGTTATATACTTCAAAAAACTATCCAGTAACTAATTAAAACGGTCTGGATATATTCCCGATAATAATGGTATGTTATTATCGTGTATCATATCACAATTTTTGATTTTAAATCATCACTTTTGTATACTTCAATTGGTAATTTTTAACAACTTATCATAATACTGACGATTTTTGAAAGTAAATTTCATTGACTACTTATAATTCAACTGACAATTCAAACACCAACTTTCTTTTTTCTAATGATTTGTAAATTATAACCCCTATCTTACATTCAATAAAAAAAACAATAACAAGTGTAGATTCCAAACAATAAGAATTATTTTAATACAAATAAATCAATAAATAAGATTATTCATATAGTTTGTATCATTCATTGATTTTATTGACTTACATGTTGAACAACATGATCTGTTTGCTGATCATGATAAGCCACAACTGATGGTGCTTGTTTTAAACAGAAAAATGTAACTGCCAAATTCAATATTATGTAATAAATAGTTATGATCAAATGAATCCATCTCCCGTACATTGTCCTATTTTGCAAATTTTTTTTTGTTTCAAACAGGATCAATAAAAATAGTGTAAATTAATGGTCGTATGTTATTTTAGTAAAAAAGTAACTAATAGTCTTGATTAGACGATCTTATGGATTCTGGAAAGTTGGAAATAAGTAGTATGCTGGTTGGATATTTTAGAATCGGTTAGTCACTGGATATACATATTACTTGCTAAATAAATGGCGCAAATTATATAATATACTGAAGTCGTAAAATGATCGAAGTTAGACAATCATTTAGAGCGATGGATGGCCGTTTCGTCCTATTACGGGATTCCTCATCAGTCCACATCCACGACATCACTTGTGGAGATTGAATCTAGGATTCACGGTCTCGCTCGCAAACACTAAACCTCTTGAAGCTATTCAATGGTGAGGACAAGATAATGATCAATATGTGGTTATGGAGACTGTTGAGTTTTACTGAAGTAATGATTCTAGTGAAATCAGTAATACAGATCGAACATGTATTATGCCTCTAGGATTTCGCAATATGCAGATGCCCTGGTGAACCAAGTGTCAAATGGTAAAATCGTATATGTATGTTTCAAAGGTTAATTAAAAGTATTTCCCTTAAAAAACTAGTTTTATAGTCTCACATATTGATTGTATAAAATGAAGTTTGGAAATTTGAATGTGGTGCGAGCACTGAAAGGACTAACATGAATTTTTGAGTTCACAGATTTCTATTACCATATAAGTAAATGTATAAGACAACAAAGGGCAACAATGATGGTTGATGATAGATCTGTTCTGCTTTTTTGCAAAGAAATTATATCAAAATATCTTGACTAATTTCAAACAGTTTATTGATTATTTTTCTCATAATCGACTAAAAATAAGAAAATTCAATGATCAATTTTTGAAGTAAATGTGAATGCGAATCTATTTAAACATGGGCGACAATAACAATTAAAAAAAACAACAGTGAAATACACTAATCACTTACCATTTTACTTTCAAAAACATTTCACACAAAGGATGAACAAGTAAATTATCCCGTTTATTAAGAATCATAATCTTTAAAATGTAAAAAATAAAATTAGAACACAATTTTGTTTAACTGATGTGATTGTAACAAATTTAAAATTGTACTCTATTAAGATTGTCATAATTTGATGCTCACTGTAGGTACTTGTTAACGATTATTTTATTATGAAATACAAAAACACAGGTGAAGTGCATTTTTGACTTAACTGTTTTTTTCTCCTTGTTTTTTCTGTTTCTGCTTCTCGTAAGTGAACTTTACGAAATACTTATCTAGAGCATGTCGTACCTTCAGGATAGAAGTAAACTTATCAAAGTTTAAAACGTTACTGTTGGTGAAGTTAGATCCCTAAAACTCACTTGGAAAAGATCCTAATATTGTAATTTATTCTGAAATCTTTGAATTTTCTATGTTTTCGCATCAAAGATGCTTAGTCTACCTTTAGCTTATATTTAAAACTCGCACAATCCTTGCCTGTTATTGGTTGGCTCTAGCAAAGGACGTTCCTATAATTGTATAAATAAGCTTGGGTTGTGTGCGTCTGAACCTCAACCTTTCTGTGTGACTGTAGAATACACTTGCTACGCCTTATCAAGACTTCTTGACGTAGTTAGTCGGGCCGGGGACAAACGGATTAGAATAGCCTATTGTGTCAGTGAATCATTGATCTCCGTTCCGTTTACCGAGTAAGGTGAACTCGTAATAGCTGCAAGCATATCAGTTACACATTATACCAGTAAACTCGTTTAATTTATGTAATTCATTATGAGACTGAAATTGTTCGATTGTGATTCGATTGATTACATGTACAAAAGATTTAGGGCGAAAATTTTTTTTATGTGTATGAATACTTGAAGGTGATTTTAACATCACAAATTGCCAATTACAGTTAAGGATACGCTACTTACTAACTTTCTAACACCATTCTCTTTTTAGCTGCATAAGTATATGCAGGTATTTTGTAGGAGTAAGCTTGAAGGTTTACTGACTAAGTTTGTAACGGTATAAAAACTCATATCGACACACTTTTTTTTACCACGAATACTGTTCAGCTAAGTATTACATAAACCCCCAAGATTAACTGCAAATGCCATGAAATGATTCAAAGTTTCAGTATTAACATGAACGGTAAAAATTTAACGCCTTGTATCAATAAGATTAAACGTTCTAGAGAACGATTCTCAGATTTTTACTTTCTCGACAAATACTTTATCGTCAATTTACATGAAATCCTATTATTACTGTTATTATTATTATTATTATTATTTTCAAAGAAAATAAGCAAAGTGAGTTTACCTTCAAGTATTGTAATGGTTCATTTGGTTGTCTGGCACGACTTTTTAAAGGTGGTTGTAATATGGAAAAGTCAAATAATGTCTAAATAGACAGATAGAAAAAAAATAAGATAAAGAAACGATAACAGATATTACAGCAAGTTATTGCATACAAAAGATTCCACTAACCCATTTTTGGAATAAGAAAAAGCTTTAATTGAATATACACCTTCAGGAATGTCACGACACTTTGAAAAAGAATTAATCATTTTAGATACTCATTGATTTTTAATAATAATAATAATAATAATAATAATAATAATAATAATATTTACATACATTTGGCCCATTGATCAGTATAGAAAATATTACGCGGGTATATGTGAAGGTTTAGGTAATCAAGAGAGAATTCTGAAGTTAACTAGTTTCCACCACTAAGTTAAGTGACTTAAACTATATGACTGATACTGTTCAATTAGTAATGACGACCAGACAACATGATGTTGGTCATCAGTCAGTGATCAATAACTGTGAGTCACGTAGCTATCTACTGATAGATCAAAATGGTCAGATTCATCAATAAAAACAACATGTACATGTAATAGCAATCTCAATTTCACAACTGTGTGACAAAGGTTCATGTACATGTTTGTAAGTCACATCATTTTTATGAAGACCACTGATACCATTGAGCTATCAGAGCCAAAATACATAAGGCTCCTTATCTTGATGTTGAGGATTTTCTAAAAAATTTTTAAGATCAAAAGTAGATGATTTCAACAAGTTGGTTTAAAGTTTTAAATTGATCCAGACTAGTTATCTCTGGAAAAGGATTAATAAGTATTAGTCCATGAAGAGAAATGTCTTCAAAATAATGATTTGCTTGCAAAGCGCTCATAGAAGTTTCCTTTTTTTTATTGGTGAATGATTTTTCTATACTCAGTCTTCAGACAAACATATATTTATTCACATAAGGAACTGTTAGCGTTTATAAATATTCGCTAAAGGAAACCTTGACTGATGACCTTATTTATTGATCTCAGATAAATAACTAAGGAAAAAATAAAACATTGGACAGCTTGTAACTTCTAATACAGAACTTCTTACAAATACGCTTCCTGTCAGGTACTGAACTTGGAACCTACTGGACTCAAAGTGAGCGAAATCAGTTTATTGAAATCCATTGATCCGGATTCTTATCTTCAATCATTTCATGGCTTTGTGTTATTACTTATTACCATCACTTATAAATATCTAACAGATAATGTCGTTGAGCTCCACTAGTCAGTACCTCTCTCTAGAACTTCAAGGACTTTTCTTGAAGTCCGTTAACACTAAGCAGGTGATTATTCATGGTTATCATAAATAAAAATGAATATCATATGAACAAGTATAAATTACTGATGACTACAAATCTATTCCTTTTATGAATATCATCAGTGTAGATTTATTGTACATAAAATAAATATATATTCATCATTTACCTCATGTTCTGGACTGTTCATTTTTCCTTGATCAATAATATAACGATCCATAACCAACTAGAAATAACAAGACACAGGCCAGATTATTTTTAAAAGGCTACTAATTACTAATGGTAAGCATTCTTTCGGTCTGAAAAAGTAATCTTTTTATTGTGTCACTTGTGTCTAAAAGACATTATAATAGTATTGTGGAGTACGCTACTTATGTTCACATAAGTAGTATATGATATCAAACGGAAATCAAACGTCTGACAGCAAAAGATCAAGAAGGAAAGAATGATAACAGAAGGCGATTTGTAGGTATCGTAAAGTGAAATGAAGTCTGAACAGTCTAAATGAAAGAACATTGAAATCTGAAATAAATTAGGATTAGTTTGCAAATGATGATTTACGGGAAGGTTTTGTACACGTGCCTAACAATATTCGCTTAAATATAGATGCTGATGTCATCACCGGAGTTTTCGTGCACAACATTTGGTGTCGCTGCCAGGATGAAGATACCGTGGCCGAGGGAGTTTAGAGTTGTTAAGCATATGTTCAAAACCTTCACGTAAATTATCATTTGCAAACTAATCCTAATTTATTTCAGATTTCAATGTTCTTTCATTTAGACTGTTCAGACTTCATTTCACTTTACGATACCTACAAATCGCCTTCTGTTATCATTCTTTCCTTCTTGATCTTTTGCTGTCAGACGTTTGATTTCCGTTTGATATCATATACTACTTATGTGAGCATCAGTAGCGTACACCACAGTTTGATTGCTTATATAACCTGATGAAAACTACAAAATAACAGTTTAAACATCCAGTTATTTTGCGATCCGAGGAAATCTAATGAAACTTTAGGGATTTAATATCTGGTTCGCATAGTACACTGTTTATCATGTCCTTTACCCGCTGACTAAATCCAGTATGACAAAAGTCGAATGTTTGAAAACAAAAAAAAGATTTTAGAAAAGAAACACTCTAGTCAAATAACAGAGTATGAGCATATTCTAATTCACGTTTGTAGATAAAATAGTTAGCCATAATAAAAAAAAACATGAATCATCTGTCAATCAATAAACAATTACACATTTGAAATCATCAATTAATCATTGTTAGGCGACCATTAGAAACCTAGAAGCATTGGATGGCCATTTCGACCTGGTATGGGACTCATCAGCTAGTGTATAGCTTCGTGAGGAAATTCTCGGAGTTCTAGTTGAGAAGACGTGACCAGTGGAGTTCAACCCTGTCGGGTGTAGGCACTAACGAAAAAATGAGTGAGGTCGTGCAAAATCCCTAGATCAGAGTTAGACATTAACACCGTTGGATGCCGGTCCATTAGTCCAGAGGTTAGGCGTTCGCGCACAAGGTCCCGGGTTCAAATCCTGAGAGGTGAAGGATTCGTGGATATGCACTGCTGGTGAGTCCCATACCAGGACGAAATGGCCGTCCAGTGCTTCCAGGTTTCTAATGGTGATCTAACAATGATTGATTGATGATTTCAGTGTGTATAATCACTGACCACCATAACTTCAATTGAAAATATCATAATAAACAATTAACTGATAATAGGATCGATAGTGTTACAATTCTTTTATTGTAACTAAAGGAATTACTGAACAGAGTTCACAGTTGTATACCCAACTCTACTGCTACATGGATTTATGATAGTCAATGTAAACTTAACCTTCTACCATTAAACAAATCTGATATCAATGATCAGATTAAATTAGAAACAGCTGAAAGATTTATCGTGAATTACTGATATATTTAACAGTTTAGTTCACAAAATTAAATACTGAATATTTTAATGACTTTATTTGTTTTCAAGTGAATTGTGATTTTTAAATTGTTCTGTTGTTCTCCGAATGTAACTACCGTATGTGTTTTACGATTGATGCTCACGTAAATTCAATCATATTAACATAATATTGATCACGAACAAATTGTAGAGTGCTGTTCAACTACCAAAGGAAAATCTTTGTGAGCACGAGATTTATCAAGTAAATTCAATTTAATTATAAATTATAAAATGTTTATTTAACTTTTATGATGATATCTTAATACTACTAAAATATCACGAAAGTAGACTGATGTATAAAAAGAAAAAATAGTGACGTGAGACGTCGACTTGATATAAGAAATAAACCACATACCGAACAAATATCAGGCATATATTCTATTAATTCTTTGAATGGACAATATATTGTATTACCGAGTAATTCAATAATTTCAGGCCATCTGTAAATAATTTTTTTTCAAAAAAATTAATATGCCTTATGTTAAATAAATTATAATGAATATGATAGAGTTGCATAATGACATGATTTTGTGAAAACTTTATGTAATTTGATAAGAAAATTGTTAGTATGAACTGATGAAAAATTTAAAAAATGATTCGAAAACAATGAGAATCGAATATTTGTTTTACCCTATTATGAAGTTCCTTTACAATGCTCAATTAAAATCCCACATATGTTGAGACATTAGTCTTTAAATCTATATCAAACGTCTGACTGTGTAGTTCAGAAATCCTTGATTCAACCCTGTATTAGTCATTGGTAACGTGTTCTTGAAAAGTTACAAATAAGACCAAAACCAATTGTTCACTAGTGCTTAGCTTTTAAGAATGGTGGTTCGTCATGAGAATTGCCTTTAAGGTTTATGTAAATTGCATAGTTCTTAACTTTCATGTAAGAAAGATATATATGAAGTGACATAATATTTCGTGAAATATAGTATTGAGTTGATTTAATGAAAACGATATGAACGTTTCATCTTTTGAAACCAACAAATCAAAAGTTACGGTTGACTACAGCTTCTAATAATACTGCATTTTATCGTTTTCGTCGCTATCGTTGGTGGGCATATAGCAGTAGATGACATTCATTGTAATTCCTTTCTTCGCTACTTGAAAGAATGTTTTGATGATCCTGTAATCATAGGATTCCCATCCTATGAGTACTTTCCGCACCTCATCAGATAGCATCAATACAGTTCCTTGTGTATTAGGGATGTTTTCTTCTTGATGACCAGTGTACGATAGCACCTCATTTGACACTTACCTTTTCTGCCCAGCTTGTGTTCAAGCGCCGCAAGGCTGCATTTTTTCACTTCCTTGGCAACTTAAGTGGTCCCCTCGGTTCCCCCAATTTGCGGACACTCCAAGTACTTATTTTATTTGATTCTGTGGTTGTCAGAAGGGGCATCGGCCTTGTGACTTCCGAAGAATCTCGGCTCTCTTCATGAAGCGTCAAAACTCTTCTAAACGAAGGCGCTTTAACCTTCGGTGGATAATTTAAGTAGTTTAGGTTATTTTTTCCGATTGGCATCTTCTTAGCAAGGTTGTTTTCTATGTTATATTGTTTCTAACCCCATGTTTCACCCTCATCTTCATCTAGGCTTCGGAGAGGTAATAACTCAAAATGGGCTAGAGGTGGAGTTTTATAAACGTTTGATCTGTTGGAACAAAATCAGTCAAGAAAGCGTGAATATTTTTTGTTTGGTCATTTATACTACTAAAAACTAGTATGTTTTGGTCTTCAAAAATTTTGCAAACATGATTTAACTATTGCACATAGAATGTAGATTCGACTTCGAAAAAAATATGCCTCAATAGGTGCTGATATATTATACCCTAATATTAGAGAGAATGAGATTCATATTTAAAACTGTTATGTAAAACTCGAAATCATAGAATCCATGGTCAAAATGGAAACCCGTACATATCGAATTAAGTGGATGAAGATATATATTGTAATTTGTAATTTGTACACTAACTAATCCATGACTGTTTTCTCAGTACATATTTTTGTTGTCAGTCGTCTGTGTGCTTTATAGTGCATTGAGATAGCGATGCATAGAATTCCAGGGTTACAATGATGCCATTTTCCGGGAAATAGATTTAATTTTTTTCAAATATATACCTGATGTATCTGTACAAAGCTTTATTTATTTGTCATTGACTTATATTGTTCATGGTGGCTTACAAAACTGCTGAATCGTCTGAATCGAATTACCCTGAATAGGGTTCAAATTATTCACCAGGTGACTATTTTATAGAAAGGCTAGCAAAAAGTAGAAAAATTTTAAATATAATTTGAATCGTTTTGATTCGAAGTAAAAGTTAGTCAGTGTATTTACAACTAAAACAACATAAAAATATTCTGAAAATCGTATCAGTTATCAATTGATTTGTTTGTTCACTGAATATTCTAATCTTTCTTTGAGCTGTTGAAATTTCTAGTTTGTAGATCAGAAGGTTGCGTGTTCGAATCACGTCGGGCTCACCAATTTTAGTGGTGATCGAGTCGAGATTGACTGTGATCACCACTAAATATTCTTTACTATCCCGTTACAAATTATAGAAATAAATCCAGGGTCCAATATCTATTTGAAGGAGAAAGTAGGCGTTAAATGGAGCAATAAGTTATGAAAAATAGCAGAACGAGTGAAAGAACGTTGCGCGCAAGTCAGTGCTATTGATACAGCTAAACAAAACGGGCACAATAATAAATGTTTATTTCTCACCAATCCAGTTTTCTTCGTAGAAGTGTTCCACTACATATCTATGATTAACTGTCACATTTTGAACTTCCTAACCTGATGATTTTTTTCACCGAACCAGTAGTTAAACAGATTTCAGCTTTAGTGATATAACATCGCTGCATTAGTAATTAAGCAAGGAAATGTCTTTTTTTCGGCAATATCATTTGCTGTTTTGCTTCACTTCTGGACTTTCGAAATTTCCGAATACTCTTTGACGTTATCCGTTTCTATTCTTCATTGAACCCAATCCAAGTAGAATCATATAGTCTTTTTAAATAGTATCATCACAACAGATTGATATCTTTGTTGTTACTATAGGTGATTTTAAGATGTGTAATATTTTCAAGTAATTTTAAACAACAATCTATGATTTTCAATTAGAGTTATGGAGATTAGTGTTTCTACACATTGAAATCAACAATCAATCATTGTTAGACCACTATTAGAAACCTGGAAGCGCTGAACGGCCGTTTCATCCTGGCAGGGGACTCATACATGACTCATGCACCTTGCAAGATCAATCAGTGTGAGACGTTACAACTGTTGATTGCCGGCCCAGTGGTCCGGAGGTTAGACGTTCTCGCACACGACCGAAGGTTCCGGGTTCGAATCCTGCAAGGTGCAGGAGTCGTGGATGCGCACTGCTGATGAGTCCCATTCCAGGACGAAACGGCCATCCAGTGCTTTCAGGTTTTTAATTGTGATCCAACAATCATTGGTTGATGATTTCAATTTGTTATAATCTATGAGAATATCTACATCTAGAAGTGAGAAAAAGTTGAAAATATAAGTATGTACTTGTTAATATCTGATAATTACAAATTTAAGTATTCTTTACATCTTGATATAGATTGTATTTTTAGTTTGAAAAAAAATCATGTCATTTTATCCTGAAGTGATAATTTAGACTAAAAGGTTTTGTTTTATTGAATAATTTAACAAATTATAACGGTTCAAAATGAAATAAAATATCAGCCTAATCTAATATAGTTGTGTGCTTGTGTGTTTGACGATGAATAGGCATAATTATATCCTAACCAAATTCATTGAAGTAGAAATCAAGCTAGTATAATAAAGAAACAGATGTTTAGTTTAGTGAATAATTTGTATAGTTTGAAAGAAATCTCTAATTGCTAACTGACAAGAATTATAGAATTTTTAAAAGCATAACAAGTAATCAGCATGCATCATTTTGTTTTATTCCAAAATTCATCACCTGTTAAAGGGTATGATATGACAATTGCAATTTCTGTTCTCACAATGAACCTGACATTTATTTGTTGATATTTTCTGCCTGATTCAGTATGTTGCGTAATGTGATCCTTCGACTGGACTATGAAGACGCCAAGATCTAGTGGGAAGCACGGCAAAGGAGTGACAGCGTCCCTACAATCGCAGAACATCTGCAACTCAAAACAACTATCAACCAACACCAAGGTCACAACTTTCAACACTGTTTAGGGGCGGAAACTTGGAGAACCACCAAGGCCATTATACACAAAATATAATTGTTAATTAACAGTTGTCTACGCAAAAAATACTTCCGATCCGTTGGCCAGACTCAATCAGCAACAAGCCACTGTTATAAGAAACAAACCAGATTCCAACAGGCGAAGAAATCAGGAAGAAGCACTAGAAGTGTACATTGAAGAAAGCACCCAACTGCGTCACAAGACAAGTCCATAGTTAAAATCAAGTTCAAAAGAAAAGAGGAAGGTCAAGGAACATGCTATACCGAGAAACGGATACAGATATGCGAAGAATGGGCACCAATTGCATGTAACTGTAAAAGAAACCCCTGGACACAGTAGATTGGAGAATACAGGTTGATGATGATTTGAAAAATGATCAAAACTGACATTGATTAACTCGGTTTTATGCTTTTTTTTTTATCTTAGTTCGACTATGACTGTTATTAGTTATTCGAATTCATTGAATGTTTGCAATCTTATATGTTGGATCCAAACTGAGGTTTGGATTAAGGAATAACTTTCCAAGTAGTTTAGATACGCGTCTTTCCCAGTTGAGACCAAAACCAATGACGGTTCGAATATTCGTCATAGATATAAATATACATCATTACCTAAACAATATTACCACAGCTATTCCACCAATAATTGTTCATTTATTCAAATAAATGATATTCAATCCTTCCTGGATAGATCAGATTCGTTCGACAGATAATATTTGATTGCTTTATAACACAGAGTATTTCCTATTCTGTAAGAGTACTTCACTTCACAATCAAAATGCACAATTCCAGTCAAAGCAAGCAACAAAATCAAAAGAGGAACAAATCAATATGGAAGTCGCCATGACTAAGTATCAGCTTAAACAACAACAATACAATTCAGAAAGAAACATGGAAACTCAGTGAATGCAAAATAAATAGAAACTATAATAAAATACAAATTTTATCATCTCAAAATGAAATCGAACAGATCAACAAAATGTACAACTGAAGGAATCAATAAGAACGAATTGCAAATATATGTACACGGAAGGATTTTCATAAACAAAGCCTTCAAAAAATGAATCTTACATTATATGTTCAGTCATCCAATTAAAATGATTATTATTTTTAAAAAAAGTTATTATCTTAAAATTTCAACTTCATTATACTGAAACGAATTGTACAACTACCGTTGATAGAGATTCATGCCAATTTTCATGTTGTTTTGACCGAGTGACACACAATAAATTGATATATATATATATATATATATATATATATATATATATATATGTATATATAGTTAGATGTATGAACATAGGTATTTGTTGAAGCGAAGACGAAATCAAGTTTCACTCTATCTGATGTTCCTAATCACGAAATTCCACTAGTACTACTACTACTACTACTAATACTATTACTTACGACAATTAAATTAATTAGCAATCATTTTAAATGGCTTTTTTTTGAGAAAAATAATTTCCCTCTCGTTTTCATTTGAAATAACATTCAAGTGAATTTTGCAAAGCACTTAAAGTAAAATGATACTTGAATTGTTTGTTATGAAATAATTGACATTTCATAAAATAAATACTAGTAATCTAGTCAGTTCAATCATTTTTGGTTTATCTTTTTAAAACAAATAGAAATTAATTGATTTAAATGATTATTTTGTTTTGTTTTGTTTTGTGCCTATGAGTTAACCACATAACATTCACTGGTTGTATTTGTTTGAATTAAAAATCTGTATGTGCTGATATAAAATTATCCTACTGTGTGATAGAACAAACCAGATTCCAGTGGAGGAAGAAATTAGGAAGTTACGCTGCAGGTGGACAGGACACATATTGTGGAAGGCACCAAAATGAATCACAAGATAGGCCCTCACACGGAATCCTCAAGGCCGAAGGAAAAGGAGAAGACCAAAAAACACATTACTTCGAGAATTAGAAGCAGACATCAAAAGAATGAGTAACGATTGCGTAGAACTTGGAATGAAAACTCGGGACGGTGGCCTATGCCCTATTGGGATTAATAGACATAAATATTTCTTGCCTATCAATTGTTGCTTCGGTAGAAATTTATCAAAGAAAATATTCTAATATTTTTAATTAGCTTCGGAAAATGAATAAGGAAGTGTATCTGTAGTTCTGGTAAATGTATTTTTTGGATTAGAGAACTATGCATAAAGTGTGTGAAACTATTCGTTTTCAAATTTCTATTTGTAATTATAACGCCAGTTTCAACTTGTTGGACTGAAATAAAAAAATATGAAGAATTAATAGGGCTAGACATGCAACAGTAAACAAGTTTTAACGTCATCTTCATGGGGTTTACATCTTTCATTTGTTACGGTTCAGCGCTGATGTGGTTTCGAGTCCTGATGTGAATGTCATCACAAGCATGCAGTCATATTCAACTGACAGGTTCCAATTAGGATGAAAAGTACCTCCTAGATCACATTGTTAGCTTTAGTATCCATTTCTCCTAAAACATATTCACGCTCTCTAAGAGTTCAGTGGTCAGTAAGTGATCAGTTGTTTGTGAAGTCTAAAATTCTAGTCACTTTCTGCCGATCAAGTTACAAGTGAAAGTAAGTTAGAATAAGATATATGCAAGTGCGTAGTATTGTACGCTAATGATGTTGGGGACGTTAGATCCCAAGAACTCGCTTTTATTCTTCCGCGCATGGGCCGACCAGTTGACCTTGAGATTACAATTCCCACCCGGAAAATCCTTGACTGCTATTGGTTAACGTATTATTTTAATACGCTATTTTTTGTCTCTCCCAAGGAGATTTCTATTATGTATAAATAAACTCGATTTGTTTGCTTGAAAGCATCGATTTTATGGGTGCTTGTAGAATACACTTTTGTACGTTTTGTCAAGACTTCGTTCTCTACTTATTGGGACCTTGGGACGTTCGGATTAGAATAGCCTATCGTGTCACTGAAGTAGTAAAGTAATTACATAGTAATTCGTTATTATCATTGCATTGTTTCACTGAGTCAAATTGTCAACTTAATCTAAATGGTCTTAATTTAATTCATATGATTTACACTGTGTCATTTCATGAATTTTGATGTAGGAAAATATTTGTAAGTTTTCTATGAAACTCACTTTATTAAAATTATTAAAATAGAATTATTTTAAAATTGTTCATCTTTAGATTCCCTTTTGTTTTCATTGATTTCTTTTATTTACTGTTTCATTTAAGAAAATTTCTTCATTTTAAGTATAAAGTGAAATATAACATAATAATGTGAAAGTTTATAGAACCAATTGTTGGAAATTTTTAATGTTCACGTGTTAATGTTTATCTTTAAAGGAGACTTTCTTATTAGTGGTCAGTTATGAGATGATTTATCAAACAATAACTAACCAGTCATTCAACAAAACATAGTTAACTTTTAGTGATTGCTACAAAAATCATTCATCAGTGTAACAACGAAACCGTTTAAATCATAAAGTTGATCTGTGGAAATTTTTTAGTAACAAGAACATTTCGTTTCATTGGTTAATTGTAATGAGGATGAACGTAATGATTGTATGATTAACTAGATTAGTTGAATCTACTTTACATAGATTAAATATTTTCTAGAGTTTTCAATTCGTATGACAATAGCGTTGAACATTGAAAGTATTTTAAGTATAAGTTTGGAATATTAC